TAACCGATCGTTAGAGACACTGAGTGATATGGCTGGGTGTCGCAAACAGTGGCGTTCGTGCATCTCCTCAATTTCTTTGCAATTTTAAACCACTGAACTTCTCCATTTTCTGTTCGACTCCACTTTCAACTTTCCTTTCTTCTATTCTTCATCCAAAGGGACAGCCAAAAGACAGCAACGAAAACCGGCGCACGAATNCAAAGTGAACTGAACTGATAATTCAGTTACGCATCCTCTATCGACATACCATAATAATCACACTGCCCCTTTCCCTCCCCCCCCGCCTTTATCACAAATTGTTTCAGTCTGAGGAGCATGCGAACGGCCGAACCCCGGATTCTGGCCTTACCAACTCAACTTCGGATGATGTGCATCGTGATCTGCTAGCTGCTGATCGAGCACCCGGCAAACCAGCTGAGGAGGGAATACAGCATCAGTGCAGTGTGTCATTTGCCGCTGGACCAGGTCCGGCAGCCGCAGCACGTGAAAAGGGTGATGCCAATGGGCTCGAATCAGCTGAAGATGGTCAAAATAGAAAAATGAACGAGTTCACTTTCTCACCCTCACACCCGCTCGCTGCAGCCGCACGAAAGGCTGTCGGTGAAAATGCTGCAGGGAAGAATCACGTCAATCCGCACACTCCCAGCCGAATGTGAGTCCACTTTCTTGGTTGATTAGTCATTACTGACAAGAGAAGGAGGCAGTTGATTGCTTCAAAATGCATTCAGTTAACTCTGGTAATTTCAACGTGGTCCCCTTTGTGTTCAGTCTTCAGATGGGGATGATTACCATATAGCATAGGAAATATCATAATTTACCACCAGTTAAATCTCGCCATTGATCAACCATTATAGAAAGATCGCTGCATGTGAATTCCGCCAGAGCGAGACTTTGTTTTCATGTTACCAAACATCCGGAGTCTGCTGTTTCAATTCCATAGAACATTCCGTTCTATCTTCATTCATCTGAAATCGTTTTCAACTCACGTGGTTCAACTATCATCTTTCCCTAATAATTAAGCCGTAAAAATTCATTTTACTTGTGCATTCTTCGTGTAGAAGAAGTTGAAACGACACTTATGCATTCAGTTTTTTTCTGTTTTTCGAGTAGACTTTCCTCGTTCTACTGCTTTCCTTTTAGTGATCGATATATTCGAGGAAAGTTTTTATCTCTAGCACATCAATTGCTACGTGGTATTCGAAACTATAAGTGTCAAATCTGGAGAGTTTGAAACAGGAAGTTTGCCCACACAACCGTTATTTTTCCGTTAGAAATTCGGAACAGAGCTGAACATGTTCTGTAGTGTTAATTTATTGCCATAGTCACACTTGGGGTATGTTTGCTTATCACTGCTTCACTTTTTATCCTACCGAGTGGGCGAGTGAAATGCATAGGTGACGCTTTTCGCGTATCTCATGATAAAAAAATCTCGAGACGAGGCTCGTCAAGGATACGAAATGCCTGTTCAGCATTTGCCAGGTTGAAAAATCTATTTCCTCGTCGCCAAATTTCTCTGTTTTGCAACAGTCGAGTTTAGGTTGCTACAAGCGTTTCAGTCAACCCTACTTTGGCGTCGATAGATGTACAACAGGTACGGTCAAGATCATAGACTCATCCGAGCGTCTTATCCTCATAAAGTACGACGGCTGGGACAGGTGGTGTTCATAAACCTCTGCAGACCATAATGTGTATTCATAATAGTAATAAGTATAGGAAGGTGAGGTTAGATCACGCTGATGGTATGAAATTCTTGAGCAGTTTCTACCAGACAGTATAGGTTGTTTCACAAACAGCAGTTCTTGGGTATTACCTGCCTCACAATAATCTCATCCTTTTCTTTATCATAAACTATTTCCTAGCACAGCTTAGTAAGCTGTTCTGTTGTTGGTCAATTGAGTCGCTAAATGCAAAAAAAACTGGATTAATATGACAATTAATTTCCGAGTGAATGATTTTAGAAATCACGTGTGATCCTCATCATAACTTATTCCTTGTCTGATTTCCATTACCAGGTCTGAAAATCAACGCAAATTACACTCAGCTACAAGATTAAACGAGCTCCTACAGAATCATTCAAGTGAAGCTGCTTTGGTCATTGTGAATATGCCCACACCTTCGCGCTCCGAGGCGAGTGAATATTACTACATGGATTATATTGAAGTTTTGACCGAGGGTCTCTCTCGCGTCTTACTGGTTCGTGGTACCGGACGTGAGGTGATCACAGCATTCTCTGAATAGATCACGTGAAAGAAATTGTGCCTGCATACGCGCATGCACTCTATTCAATATATTCGAAGTGTTCATTTTGTTTGTCCTCCACTTTCCTCGTACATTGAAACTGTCGATTTGGCATGAGACGCGCAACTGGAATTTATCTGGTCATTCTCTACTTCTGACTCCAGCTTGTCGTCTTCGGTTGAATTCGCCTGCTCAATTCCTATCCTTAAATTCCGTTTTCTCTAATCTGAGCACGCTTCCATGCGTCTTACCCCTCAAACCCTTTGGACGTAATTGTTGTGACAGTGAACAAATTAACGTTCATTGTTTGTTTCCACTGCTGACCCCTCCCCCAACAGCGTACTACACTTGCAGTACAGCACTCGAACCTTCTCTTACTCCCCTCATTCAATTCTGCAACACAAATTTATCGTCGGATACGATAGTGTTAATATGGTTCTCTGAGTTCATCTACCCCCCCTCTTCACCTCTTCCACACTGGATTGTACTCCGATTTCTCCCACCCCCAAAATTCAGCACTCTCCACAGAACACGTTCAGATGGAAGGAGTAATTATGGCTCCATCAACTTGAACCCAGGGTATTGTAATCTTGTTTCCACTGTTGCGATTGCGCCAAAACGTAGTCTGCCGATACACACACAGGAAAGACAATTTTAGATCTAGCCAACCCAATATATAGTCCACCGATTGCTTTACACGTGTGTACCTGTTTGTGTCCCGATATCAAAATGATAGTACGCAGGTCACATTCAAAACTGAATCAATCGGTTCTAATGGTTGTCAATGTGAGGTAACTTGGCCCGATCCTCACAATTCAGGGATGTGATACATTTGGAATAAAGTGCAGAAAAGATTAAATGGTGCAACTAGCTATGCCATATTTTGGTTCATGTTCCTCATCCAGCAACTGACTCCCTCTGAATGCGACGGGCACGCTGAACGCTCACTTTAACTGTTTTTGAAACTCTCGTGCCCTTGTGGACACAAGCATCAGCCGCCGAGGGTCGAAGAACAGTGAGCCTCTCGTGATATACATACCAACTCACAATCTGGCTAGCAGCGATCGCACCTCTGTCGCTCGCTTTCCCATGTGATTCTTTATTTTCTACATAGAACTGCTTTGATAATTCGGTTTCCTACCATCACCCCACCCACATCGCATCAATCCACCCATGTTCATACGGGGACTTGTCGAATCATTCAAACTTTGCACTCTCATGTTGCCTGTTTACACTACCTAGTTGGTCTCTTTTTGTGATTTGCTTTCCGAAACGCAGATTTCCGGGTGTCCATGTGTACGTGTGTAGTTGAATGCGTTTTTCACGTTGTTTCATCGCATTCATTTTTGTTGTGTTCTCGTTTTGTACACGAAAATTTCACATTTCACCGATCCCTTAAAGCTCCTCCCGTATCTTCCTTCTACTGTTTTACCTCTAATTTCGTATCTCGGTAGTGTCCGCCATCCCCTCAACCCCCCCACCCGCTCATTCTCAAATCGTTCCATACATTTTCAATTGTGCCTCCAAAACAATTGAATATAATATAAAAATCCACTCAGATGAACGTGAGTACGTTTGTCGGTGTAACTTCGGGGGTTGTACCGCGATAAATGAGCCTTTCGACTAGAGTAAATATCGGCTAGAAAGTGCCAAATGTGAATCGTTTTCTGTTTTTTCACTCGCGTTTATAGATTCATTTATCGGAATCTTAGCCCGGGTGTGCGCTTCTGTTCTCAGTGCTCTTCCACACTCTCGCATTTCATCCATTTCGTTGGTCTCTTTGCTGTGGTTCTCTTTCCCACCATCTCCACCGAATTTGATTAGATGGTGTTAGTCAGTTATATAGTGGTTGTGATTAGTTCTCCTTTAGGACGTGTTGAAAAGATATGAGCATCAACAATCTACCACTGGCCTACTCTTTCACTCTCGTGTTTAATTCCATTCTGTCGTGTTTGTCATTGACGCTGTCGAAAATATCATAATGACTTTGTTGTCCGAGGTTTTCTTGCTGGTCCCTCTTCTTTTGTCATACTACCGATTTAGCGTTCTCTTCTCGCTGATTCCTAGTGTTGTTAGTCCATTCAGTGTCTATCGCCCACAGTGCTGGTTTATTCTCTCATCCCTTGTCTCTTATGGATGTGTATTTCCTGATTCATTCTCTGCTCTGTCTCCATTCCGGAACAAACTATCCCGGAACAGAAACATGTTGAGTGTCATTGTTGGTGTCCTATCTTTCTCCCTGTTGTATCCGTTGGTTCTCTCCTGAGCGAACGCGCCCTCAATGTTGCTGAATCGTCTTGGCGTTTCCTCCATTGCCATCGGCCACCAGGTGCATCGCACAATAGAACTGTGTGAGGTGGTGTAGAAGAGCATTCGGTCACTCTATGTTGATTGAGGATTGTGCGTCTTGCACACACACACACACACACACACACACACACACACACAATTGCCTATAGATCTGTTCCAGTAACGTCACACGTGTTTACGTGCCCTCTCGTACTCTTTTTCCTACTGGAGTGTGTTTGTTTGATTATCTACCTATGCTCCTCTACACGTCTATCTCCATCCTTATTTGGTATACTTTTGTACCTGGTAAAATCTGTGTTTGTCATAAACTGATTCACGCCCCGCCCCCTAACACTGGAAGCGCACACTGACGTTTGTGTGTGTGTGCGCTCACGCCCACACGCAGTTACAAAACCCAAATCACATTGCAGAGAAGGGCACGTTTATTCAACCGTGCTCACTCGTTACCACCCCACACACATCCCACCTATTACAGTTACCAATCCGTCTGGTCGAACAGTACTGTTTCTTTCCATCTCCTGTTCTTGGTTTATCGCAATCGAATATAGTGTCTTTATATTTGCTAATTCAATAGAAATTCATTCCTATCCCTTTTCATCTCCAATATTTCTCCCCATATGGTGCAAGTACATCTGACCAGGATAGGAAGTTTTCTGGCGCATCTGACGTCTAATTGGTTTGTCGTTATAATGCACGTTAGCCCCGTTCCTTTCAAGTAATGTTACGTATTTGTTGACAGTTTGGGATCCCAATAGCCAAATAATCGAAGATTCTGTTTGGTTCGATAGCATCTGATAGATGATATGGAAAGCGTGCAATAGATTCCCTCACACAGATGACTGTCAGTTCCAATAGGTAACGCGTAATCGAAGATCTGAGTGTTTTTCACCTAGTCAGTGACGTAACGGTTTCAATTTGTCGTCCATTGTATTCTTAAGCCACACCGTTGTGTTCGGTCTTTGGCTGACGTAACCGCTTGTGTACGCAGATGTCCGAGTATCCAAACGTGAATTGGTAACCAAAGTCTGATTTGCCGTAGGGTGTGGCAATAGTTATTTCACTGATATTGTTGGTGAAAGCGCAGAATCAGTAAATCACTTTAACCTGTAGTGTACGGATTTCACTTTGTCCTTATCCTTTGCAGTAAAATGGTTTTGTGCATGAGGTATTGATAAAAATGGATTGTATTCTTGTATACATTCAGCCGCTTTGTGGTTGCTCCGAAGGTAAAGCGAATGGGTTACCGGTTCCAAGATTTGATTATCTGGTGGTTCTTGAGTACGAAAGTGACCTTCAAATATAACTATCAGGAATTAGGAGTCCTATACCTCGTCAATGTCCGATGTCTCGGTCTCTATTTACTGTCCGCGCAGTACCAAAACATCAGTTCGAACAGCCAATAATCATGCAATTTCGTGCCCCGGTTTTGGTTGCTGTCTTTTGGCTGTCCATTTGGATGAGGCATCAGAAGCAGGACAGGAAAGTTGAAGTATAGTCGAAGAGAAAATGGAGGATTTCAATAGACTAAGGTTCACGACACAGCTGTATCACTCAGTGTCTCTAAACTCCGGTTACTACGCTCTCAAGGTCACCATATGGTGGGGTCGGTTAGAGCAACCACTTGTTTGTATTCGTTTCATTGGCGAACAAAAGACCGTTCTTTATTTTGATGCCAAAGTGCGCACACTTTGGATTTCCCAAAGCGCGATGCATTTACAATCTGCCCGAGTGCTTCGGAACTAGGCGAAGGCTTATACGGAGTTAAACCCATATCAAACTCACCTACCTCCAACGCGATCCTGTTTTTCCAATGGCACTCACACACCAATGGATTCCCTTTTCAATCAACGTCCACCGATGTTTCCTTCCGGGCCTAGTACTCTAGCTGAGCGCATTTTTCATGCTTTTGAATCACATAGGACACGACATTCTACATGATCATGAAATGGTTTGACACAGGTCATGTTGGCCGGCCCGTTTGGGTCGCGGTCTCAACCATGATCGCTGTGGTTGGGATCATGCTAATTGAACAAAGGTTTTTTTATTTCTTCGCGTCAAGTTCACTGTGACATGGGAGAAAAACTTTACCGACTGAATATCCTTTATAATATAATTTGGATAGTTGCAGCGGCAGTCTCACGGTTGATTTCTATGCACAAATGAGATTTTAATCTTTATGATCCGTTAGAGCAGATTTTGTTCCTAACAGAATAGAATGAATGTGATTTACGTGGTTGAACTTGATACGTCATAACACAACAGGAACAGTTATGAAAATAGATCTGGGATCGCAGAACAGTAGGGTTTTGTGGGGGAGGGGTCGAATACAATTGTGCCAGTTTCGCGAGATTGCCCGGTTGGCCCAGATGCAACAGTGCTGAACCTATCATCCACCTGCCCCTGCAATTAGACGTTGCATATCGTCAGTTCAATGGAAAGTGACTACTTCCTACTTATCTTCATAGTGGAGAGGCGATACGGTCGGGTGCAACATGAAAAGCTGCTAGACGTACCACCTCTGAAGTAAGCATAAAAATACTCGAGTGACTCAATATCTTCAAACACCGCATAGACCGAGGCTGTATGTGAAATGAAAGTTTTTGAAGAAACATCATTGGATCTCAGTTCGCAAAAAGAACATTTCTCCTCAGTTCCAAACAATTTCGTTTCTTTTTTTCCAAACCCCATCC